TTCTTACTCTTCATTATAATTATATTTTTTATTTTCCCTATATACCTACATACTATCTCTAACATTTTACAAATTTGATGCCTAATTAAAGATTTCATCTAGCATTGCAGCATTTTTTAGAATATTTGATAGAGCATAGTAGTAACTGCCAGTTAAAACTTTATTTCTAGTATTTAGTTTAGGTAACAGAGACAACGCTTGGAACAGAAAATACATACTTTTGTTAATTCAGAATTTTTAAATGTTTTATATTATAAATCTTTCCAGGTATCCTATATCATTTTTTTTATAATTTTCAACCAAAACTGTTTAAAAACAAAAAGTTTAATAAAAAAACACCCATTATATTTAATAAGGTTTATGCTCTAAAACTCACTGTTCTTTTAATGGCAGATTTTTTAACCTCTGAGTAAAGTTAGGTGTAAGTATAATCTATAGCCTAACCAGCAAGTAGTTACTTTCAACTTTATTCAGAGGTAAAAACCTGGCCTTTAATCTTAATATAATTGTGGAGGATGGAGACTACATTTGCTAGGGATTAGGGAATAACGAAGATCTGACTACTATAATGACACTTGCTAAAAACTGTATAAGTTCTATGTACATGCAGATAGAACCATGTGAATAACTTTAGTGCTTCGATAACACAACATTGATAATTAACAGATGAACATATTGGTCACAAAAACAAATTAAATAATATATTCTACCAATCTCATTTTTTCCAAAAAGTACAGTTACAACCTTGTTATTCTTTGAGATGTATTTATTACTGATACTTATTAATAAAAATAATAATAATTGATATAGGTACTTACTGATCTTTGGAAACATATATACTCCAGTCCAGTGAGACTTCATTATTCTTGTATAATGCTATTTCACAGAAATGTTTGTAATTCCAATCACTATGTATGGATTTGATTATAGTAGGTATAAAACTAAATGTTTATTGAATATCTTTAATCTGGGCAATGAAAATCACAAAACTCACTTTAAAAATAATAAGCTTCAATCTGAGTACCATAGTTAAGGTCCACTTCTTCATTTTATAATCAGTAACCCACTGTATTGCTGTTTTTGCCAAAGCCAAAGGTAATATTTGAACACAAAACAAAAACAGCTGTTTTTTATAAACACCCCCATTTCACTTATTTAGTAGCAAGTCTCTGGCAGCAACTTGTAACTTAATTGGAGCATATTTATTAAATCTTGAACACTTTTTTTGATCGTATAAACTCACACATCAGTGCAGCTTGTTTAAAAAAAACACTTATAAGCAACCATCAATAACAATAAACTTATTTGTTGACCATTAATTTTTTCATCTGTACTCCTTCTGATAGTTTTGTCATTTTTCATTTCATATAAACTCGAATTTTCACCATAGAAGAACTATTTTTATGATTGCACTTTTTTTGACAGATAAAAAGATTGCCGCAATTTTCCGCCGTAACGACACTAGCGAACCTAGCGGATTTTGGCTAGGAAGTACGATCGGTTTTGGTATGTTTTTTTCAGGGAGTTGAAACACCTTTATAGTACGCCGTGACTATTAGGCATTCCAAACTGAATGGCTACCAGTGGGTTTTGACGAGTTATGATATGGCAAAATTATGGCAACCCTGTAGGCCTGGTGATTTGACAAGGTCAATGAAATGGATAGTTACATAGATTGATCATCCTTATTTTTCAAAATAAACATAAGCTTATGCCTTGAAGTAAAAATGTAAGCAATTATTTTTTTTTAAATATCTAAAGACTAAAAATTGGTTTTAAAACACATTTTTGCTAAACCGATTCAAATTAATAAATATTTGCCAGGCAATATGGCCGCTCGTAAACGACCAGCTTTGAGCAATCTATATAACTATATATGTATCATTGACCCTGTTAATGACAGCATGACAACAGGGTTGTCATATCTAAACTGTCATTACCCACTGGTAGCCATTTGGACAGGTCGTTGGAATGCCTAATTTCGAAAAAAATGGCGTCCAAAATGGACTCCTATGTCGCGACCCCCTTAGATATACCAGCCCTGGAATATATATGTTATTCACATTTAGAGAAGAAAATTCTTCGAGTAAAAGTTACTCCTAATATTATTATCTATAATTTTTGTTCTATACAAAATTTTCCTAAAATGGTCCGTATCCGAGAAATTTGATAAAATGTAAAAAAATAATTTTTTATAAAAATTGTTCAAATAAAAGTTGTTTGTAATATAATTCTCTATAATTTTTATTCTATACATCATTTCTCTAAAATGGACCGTATTCGAGATATTTGAGAAAATGTGTAAATTTCGAATTTTGAAGAAAACTCAAAAACGAATAAAGAAAAAAACATTAAATTTTAAACATAAGTTTTATTTCGGCCTGACGTAAAATGATAAGATTTTGGACAAAGTCGGAACATCTGGGGGGGGGGGGGGGTACTTTATGGGAGGCTGTTTTTATATTTTATGGAATATATCTGTTATTTATGTTTGGAGGAGAAAATTCTTCAAATAAAAGTTACTGCTAATATTATTATCTATAATTTATGTTTTATGCCAAATTTTCCTGAAATGGTCCGTATTCGAGAAATTTGATAAAATGTGCAAAATTCTGATTTTTAAGAAAATTGTTGAACTAAAAGTTGTTTGCGATATCGATCTTTATAATTTTTGTTTAAACATGATTTTTCTAAAATGGACCGTAATGGAAAATTGTAGGAAAAGTGCTATATTAAAATTTTTCAGTATTTTCGTTTTCAATGAATATATGGAAAAATGTTTCGAGGTAGATGTATGTGGAAAATGTATATATTTAGTTTATCCTCTAAACATTTATAGAGGTGTTGCAATAGGTTGAACAAAATAACCTGAAAAAGCCTATAATAACTAGATAGGAAAGGTAGGAAAGTCATGTGTTGGAGATTTTTACATTACAATGTCATTTTAATCTTCGTTTAGTAATTTAAGCTTAGTTTAACACAACGGTGGAATCGGCCCTAAGCTACAACACTTCTGAAAATATCGTTCCATTTATACAAATTGTATGGATGGAACGATATTTTCAGAAGTGGCGTAGCTTAGTGCTGCACTTTCGATACAAAGAAAAAGACCTACATCTACATCTGCATTTGTTTATTCGAGATATGTAGCTGTCCAGATTACATTTTTTACATCTCGATTTGAAATGAGATGTGAATGAGATGTTCGTTCCATGCCAAAAAGTAGGCGTTCTGTGAACCCAAGTTTATCGATTTTTTACAGCGTGTGTAGGTGTATTCGAAATATAATACGCTGTTAAACAAGAAGATAGGGTTTCGACTGTTTTAAACATTTGTTGTAAAAAAAATTAAATGATTTGTTTTCGTCCACCGATGTTTTTAAAAATATACACACAGCACCAGAAGATAGAAAAGATTGTTTTACGAAACATGTTGTGCTTCCGCTCACATCGGCTGCCGCAATAGAACGAGCGAGATGGCTGCTAAATTGGTGGGGATGGTTTGTGCGAGCTTGTTTATCAGAGGTACAAGCACGCGTTTTATAACGCTTGCTTTACACTGCTGTTACACTTCAATGTCTTTTGTACTTTTTAGAGCCTTATGTAAAGTCAATTCCAAATTATAACCAAAAACAATCCTTATAACAAGACATGTTATTGTTCGTCGTTGATTTTTCCAATAAAGGTATTTTGACGTATTATAGCGCAGCTTTTTGGGCATTCCGAAAAATTACACTTATTAATTACATTATATATGTGTGCTTCATATTTCTGAAACGAGAATGATTTAAAATTGTCTACATCTATCTGTTATAAAAATTGTTTAGGATCTCTTAATATTATTTGACTATAGTGTCTAGAAATAAAAATTTAAGTAATTTTTTTTTACATATTCAAATGCAGAAATTTTATTTTAAAACACATTTGGGCCAGAACGGTTCTGTTCAACAATTGCGACCACTTTCCGTAGTCTTATGAGCAATCTATATAACTATTTACAGCATTGGACTAAAGTTGTTCCGTCCTTCATGAGCGATGAGCTGTCATTCTCATAGAAACTGTCATCATACGTCAAAATATCCTTTACGAAATGAAGAATTAGAGGTATTTTTTAGCGAGTGTATGGTTTAAAATATTTTCGACTGTTTTAAACCGTTTAAATTTTAGTGATGCAACTATGACGTCGCGTACGAAATATTTTAAACCAAAGCTAGAATTTTTGAACCAGTCGGAGGCATATGGTTCAATAACGGTTGACACATAAGAGATTCTGATTGTGGCTGTTGTATGTTGTTTTGCTCTGTTCCATCTTTGAACATTTTGATATATTTGACGTTTTGTTGATTTTTATTGATTTTTGATAACTTCATACATATATTATGTGATTCATATTCATAAATTAATTGGTTATAATGTTTTAATACAAATATTAATGGTCATCATAAACAGTTGGACAATGTAATCTACCTATGGGTTACTCTTGATTATGAAACAATAATTCAATTAAAGTAAGGTTAAAGGATTACTTATCAATTGTACGTTTTTTACAAAAATAATTACGTAGTTTGCTTCAGATTCTGAATTTGCCAGCAAATATTTAAAAGCAATTAAACGTTCTTTGGCAGTTGATGAACTTTGGAAAAGCCCAACAAATCTACAGCAAATAATCGTTAGACAATCGCGTATCTGTGGAACTACGGAATAAATATGATACCATATGTTTATTGACAAGAAAAATACCAAAAATAAAATAATAACGTTTCAGATTCCAATGTACCTATTAAAAACAATTCAATTTTTACTTAAAATTGCTATCAAACACTTATCCTCCTTCATCTGATTTAACAATCATTAAAAAAAAAATACGATCAAAAAAATTTTGTCATATGACAGCAGATTATATTTTTAAAACACCCTATTTTTGCCATCTATTAATTCATGACGTCACTTTAAATATGGTTTAAAAAATATTTTAAACCAATGTGGTGGCTAAAAAACAGCTGAAGTGTACCATGATGGACGTACATGTTGATCTGTGCTGAAGATGTTATGTTTTCTGTTCGAGAAACTGTAGTCTTGTGGATTTTTGGTGTTCTGCTTGCTTTCACAGACACAAGAGAATAAACAGGTTTTGAATTTTTAAAGTTTCGTGGTATCGTGCCACAAATTTTGAATTCCTTACCATGGAAAGATTTACTTGCAGAACTTGTCTTGCTATTGTAGATGTAGATTCAACGTTTCAAGTTTTTCAAAAATGTTCATCCAAAAAAACCATAAAGGACGTTTTACTAGAATATGTTCCTTCAATGGTAAGAAACTTTTATTTTGTTAATAACTAGGCTTATATCCAGATTGTTCTAAACATTTTAGGAAAAAACATTATCAGAAAACGAAAGGATATGTATCGCATGTTTAAATACATTAAAGAACTTTTTAAAATTCATTGAGAAATGTTTTGAGATTGAGGACAATCTGAATAAAGATCATATTACTGTTGAAAAAATTGGATATGTACAAAATCCTGATATTGGCGATGATATCCAAGTGGTCGAAAATATACAGATTGTTTTAGATGATGGTATTTATTTAATTTATATTTTTAAACTTCATTTTGATTATTATGCCTAGATTCCATTAACTTCACAAACCTATACATTAGATTAGTTTCCGGTAAAAATGTTTTATTTCATCTTAACTTTTATAAAAAAAATATATTCATGATTTAGGTCATCTTTGCGGTTTTTTTAACGTGCTACACAAAATGTTTTAGAATTAAAACCGTTATTTGATAAACCAGGCACAAGTAAAAATAAGTCATGCAGCAGTATCCCTGGTGGTACCATCGATCATGATCATTCTTATATGAAACCCAAAGATGCTACAGACATTTATGTAAAATCAGAATGCTCAGAAGTAGCATATTTAGAACAAGATGATCAAGATCAAGATGATCAATATCAAGATTCTCAAGATGATTTTAGCTCTCAAAGCATTGGACAAGATGAAAGTTTTGAACAAATGGGAGTAAGACTTATTCCAGTTGGCACTGTTTCAGATCAAATGCTGGCGAATAATTTTGGAGAGGCTTCTACTAGTTCTCAAGAAAATATGCTGTCTCCAAATATAACTGTTCTGGCCACAGGGGATGAATTTGAATCGGATTTTCTTGAAGTAAAAGACGAGAGTAATGAATCGTAAGTCTAAAAAATTACTATTACTTTTTTTTATTTATTTTTTATTTTCCAGATTAGCTGATTGTGAGGGTATAACATTTTACCAGACCTTATCAAACGAATCAAATATATATGTTTGTGAATTATGTGGGGATGGGTTTCTTAGTCAGCAGTTATTGCAACAGCATTTTACTGTTCATGGAAAACTGAGAATTATGTGTGACAAGTGTCCTAAAATTTTCAAAAATGATAGTGCTTTAAAGGCACATTTCAAGTAAGTAGTAGTAACAGCACATTCAACTGACTTTGGATAAATTATAATAGTCTTAAATATAAAAAAAATGTTTTACAAAAAGACAAATTTTAGATTTTTGAGGACCATATTTATATATCACCTTTGGCTTAAATCGATATTCAGGTATCTAAATCACTGGACACGGGTAATGAGCTATACAGGGTGTTTCATAATGATGTTTAAATATTTTACCAGGGTGTTCTACCAGCCATTTAAGAGGAGGGAGTTACACAATTTTGTAATTTGGGTCCACTCTTAAGCCTCAAAATGACAAAAAAGTTGTTTTTTTTTTACTTAGAACTTGTAAGTTTGGCCCTGAGGTATGAATAGCCATGATAATACGCTCCATTATTCACCCCCTTACAAAGAAAAATGAAGTGAGAAAATCAGTTGAGAACTGAAATTGCAATTTTGGAATTATATAATCCCCAACTTCTCTACAAAATTATGAAAAATACACCTCTATATATCCCTAAAGTGAAAACAAACCAAAAGAAAAATTTTAGAAAAAAATAATTTGACCAGGGATCAAACCTGACCTTTACCTCTACCAGTTGAGCTATCAATGCACGTGGCTTCGACAGTCGAACAAGTAGATTCAAAGTTAATCAGATTCTGACTCTCGTCAACTGTGGAAGCCATGTGCATTGATGAACTTGTAAATTTGAAGTCAAATAGATTCTAACTCTCGTCGACTGTAGAAGCCATTTGCCCAACTGGTAGAGGCGCAGATGCGTATAGTCAGAAGGTTTTAGGGTTTCGATCACTGGTCGATGCATTCATTTTTTCTTCTATTTCTCAGCTTTTTCGATTTTTCTTTGGTTTGTTTTCAGTTTATGGATATGGGGGTGTATGTTTCATAATTTCGTAGGGGGAATTGTAGATTATATATTTTCATATTTCCAAAATAACGTTGAAACCATTTGTAATTATTTTATTGGCTACTTATGCACTTCTAAATGCTAAATTAAATTGATAAATTAAGGTTTTCTAAGAAAATTAAAGACCTTGATTGATTATTTCTAAGTAAATAGTCTTAAATTTCAATAAATGTACTGTTCATTTATTGCTCTCTAAATTGACTATTTTTCTTCAGTCTACATCAATCAGCATATCGATCTGTATGAATGTATCATAGAATTGAATCCTAATGTAGGCTCATATCATATTCCAATTTTAACTATTTATGAGAAACTAGCTAAACTTGATACAAGAAAGGGACCAGGTCCTGATGCGATTCCCCACTTACTCCTGAAAAACTGCAACTGTATATTGTCTCGTCCCGTTTTTTATTTTTAACAAATCATTGGATATGGGAGACTTTACGGATTATTGGAAACTCATATGTTACACCAATATACAAGTCCGGTAAAAACTACCGTTCCATAACTAAAATTAGCATAATCCTAAATCTCTTTGAAAGGATCATAACAGACTACTTAACTTATGAGACTGTGCTAGTATCGTAACTCCACAACAATTTGACATACAAGTCAACAGAATTGAACATGGTTGCCTATGCTAACTTTATTTCAGAAGCCCTGGAGATGGGGTGTCAGGTAGATGCCATATACCAACTTTTCCAAGGCTTTCGATAGAGTGAATCATGAATTGAAGGGGTAAGTGGATGAAGGGGTTATGTAAAATTTTAAATTCTATTTTGTTTTGATGAAGAATTAATTAAGTTCATATGTTTCTTGCCTTGGTCTGGTCTTGTGCGTCTAATTAGTTCGTAAGCGCTCTTACTAACTCACAAAAACGCATTTTAAAGACATTTTTCACTAAAAATTCCAATGAATCTAATTAAATAGTTAATTGCTCAAAAGCTATTTTTTTATAACAACCCACTTACCCCGTCAATTGTTAATTCATAAACTAAGTAAATTTGGTTTAGGTGGCATATTGTTGCAATAGATTAGAAACTATCTTCTTAATAGAACTCAAATAGTCAAAGTAATACGTCACTATTCTCATCATTACTGTTACTTTTGGAGTTCCCCAAGGTTCCCATCTGGGACCCCTTCTTTTTAATTTGTTTGTCAACGATGTAATTTCCTGTTTTCGCCACAGTAATTTCTTACTTTTTTGCAGATGACCTAAAATTATTTTTCTAAATTGTCAACAACTTTGGAAATGCTATCGATTTACAGTCTGATATTATTTATCCGATTGATGCAAATACAACGGCATGGATTTAAATGTGGGAAAATGTCACATTATTTGGTTCCATCGTTCTCAACAGTCCACTATATTTGCCTACACAATCAATAGTTAACTTTTAGATAGTGTTAAACACAATGTTACCAGGTTTTTGAAAGAGATGACGGACAGACATGGAATTTTAGGGGAAATAGGGGGAAGTAAAAACTACTCTGTCTATTTTCATTTTTTTAATCAAAATTACTTATTTTGTAAAAAATCCGTACCTATTTTTTGGTAAAGATAGACTGAGGTGTTTCAAATAATAAGGTGAAAATGTTTTCTGACTTTGGATTTCGATTTGCGATTTCTCGATTTTCTAACTTTACATTTTCACCTTATTATTTGTAAAATCACCTCAGTGTATCTTTACCAAAATTAGGTAAGGATTTCTTGCAAAATAAGTAATTTTGATTAAAAGAGTAAAAATAGACCCGAGTTGTTTTTACTTCCCCCTATTTCCCCTAAAATCCCCTGTCTGTCCCTCATCTCTTTCAAAAACCTGGTAACCCTGGTTAAACAAATTAAAGATCTTAGAGTTATTTTTGACCCAACTCTTAGCTTTAGCCACTACATCTCTGCAGTTATAAGTAAATCTATGAAAATGTTAGGATTGAATAAAATAACGACCCGCGACTTCACTGATTGTACTTTAGTTAGGAGTCGCCTCGATTATTGCTCTTCTATAATATGGTCCCTACATCATGTAACATATAAATTAAAAATCAGTCCTGTTCAGAACAATTTCCTTAGGTTCATGGCCTTTAAATTACAAACGTTTTATGATTATACTATAATGAAGCAGTTTTTAAAGATATCTTCTCTGGAAACCAGAAGAAAACATAGATACCTGATCTCACTTTTTAGAGTTCCGTACCCGAAGGGTAACCAATGGGACCCTATTACTAAGCCTCCGCCGTCCATCTGTCTGTAAACGGGCTGTATCTCATGATCCGTAATAGGTAGAGAGTTGAAATGTTCACAAATTGTGTATTTCTGTTGCCGCTATAACAACAAATTAAAAATTTTAGGGGGTTCCCCTACTAGAAACGTGTTTTTTTGGCTTTCTTTGCTCGATCTCAATAAAGTATTTAAAAAGTACCTACATAGTATTAAATCATGTACGATGGCGCACTTGGCCGTTTTTAATATTGTTAATGGTAGATATGATTATCCTGAAATTCTATCGACAATTAATCTTTTTGTTCCTACTCGTAATATCAGGGGCAGTCACAAATATTTTATATTCCTTTTAATAGACTAGAGCCGACTAGAGAGTACTTTTAACAGTTGTATTCCTCGGATACTTAGAATGACAAATTCTCTTTGATAATATTATAATAATGAATTCTTCTGTAAATAGATTTAAGCACATCAATCAAAATACACCAATTGTAATTTTTAACAATTCATTATAACTTAAACAGGCTTGCCCATAAATAAATAAATAAATATATTCTAGTGTAATGTTGGGATCACCTGGAACTCAGTAGTTATAACATACCCCAACTTTGAGTTTTTCACACTCCGCCATGTGTGGTTTACAAATATGGACCTTAAAAAAAGATGATTTAATATTTTTATTTTTTACACATTTTGCAGAACATTATACTCTTATACATATTTTAAAGGCGTCCAATGTTTATTCTTTACTTTTGCAGGCCGTTTTTTAAGGGTTTCTTGTTAATTAAACATATTTTATTAATAGATTGAAACATTTAGAATGCGAGCGTTTCAAATGTGACATTTGTGCGCAACTGTTTGCCAGAGCAGATTATTTGAGGAACCATCTAAAAAGACACGAAGATGAAAAGAAGAATAACGTAAAATGCAGAGTTCCAGGCAAATTCCTCAGATTTAAAAACACAGGTTAGATATTTTCTAAAATTTTATCAATCATACAAATATGATTATTTTAGATGATCCATTACCTTGCAAAATTTGTGGAAAGTATTACAACGGTATCCAGAAACTGAAGGTTCATCTTCAAACTCACTTGGTGGTAAAAAGGTTTGCATGTGAATATTGCGATTTGACTTATAAGAGATGGCCCAGTCTTAAGAGACACGAAAGAACGCATTTGGAATCCGATCAATTTTTCTATAGGTAAGAAAGTGTAAAATTCGAAAATAAAGAATAAATAAATTTAATTTCTGTAACAGATGTAATGTTTGTTGGAAACGATTTGCACAAAAAGAGGAATTAGAGGTGCACATGAACCAGCACGGAAACCCGCGATACAGGTGTCAAGTGTGCGATGAACAGTTTCACAGGAAGTACCTGTTTGATAACCACTACTTACTTAGCCATGCTACACCCGAAGACATTGAGAATTCCAAAAAAGAAGTAATTTATGATACATTGTTGGAATTATCAAGCCAAAGCGTACTAGTTTCTGAATAACTTTCTGATAGTTCATATTTATTACTTATTTATGGATTGTAATTGTTTTTTCCTTGAATATTTTCTGATGAGATTTTTTTTGCATTCAACGGTTGAATAAAGACGAAAAATGTTAAAGTTTCAATAAAAAACCTATTTTGTTTTTAACAAGTTTATTACGTCGGTTAAATTGGGAAAAGATGCGATAAACGTTAGTTACGAAATTTATTTATTATAGCTGCACAATATAAAAAGAAAAATGTTTATTATGGGGATTCCCACAAGAGTGGAAAACCGTTGACTATTTTTTAATCAGTATGGCGCAGTATAATGATTTAAATTTACTATTTAATATTTTTTGGGTGTTCTTAAATGTCATGTCAATATTGAAGCAGGTAATTCCTGTGCCTATTTTTTGACTAAAATTTCCAAATTGCTTTGCTTTAAAGATGCAGAGTGTTGAAACGATTGCACCTGAAGATTGCGAATTTAATAATAATAAACGTCTTTATTTGCACTAAATATAGATTACAAAAATAAAGTGCTCAATAGGGCGAGATTTAGCCTATGCCTACTCTTACATCTAACCCGTTTACAGTTAATACAAATTACAAAATATACAAAAACAAATAAAAAATTAAATACAGAGATAAATTCAAAGATAAATACTATTCTATGCATCATACTTAGCAATAAATATTGTAAACCTTTAGCCAATGTGTTCTTGCAAAAAAGAAAGAAATATGATCGTATTTTGGTAAATTATTCATATATCTATAAGTATTCTGCATGATTTGAAGCCTGTTTTTATTGCTGTTAAGCAAGGGTAATAAATTTGTATTCCATGCACTATTTTAGACAAGACTTTGCCATAGATTAATAGATTCATGTGACTGGTCTTTTCTCAATAATGTAAATAATATTGAAACTGCATGTAAGTTATTTTATGAACAACTAGGTACATGGTATGATGGATATATGTATTCTCAAATATGTTCCAACTGCAAGAAAATACCCTACATGGTTCAACGGACCTATTATTAGAGATATTAAAAAAAGAGAAAGCACGAAAAAAGTTTAGGCGCAATAATGATTTAAATGCCTTCGAAGAATTTAAACGGCTAAGATCCAAAATTAAAAAGGACGTAGAGAAAGCACAAAAAGACTACGTTAAAACATTACAAGAGAATATAAAAAAAAATAGTGGGAACTTTTGGTCATACGTAAATTCTAAAAGGAAAGATGGTGGAATACCTGAATTTATGACTTATGATGATTTAAATCTTTTAAACATGCAAGATATTGTAAATGGATTTGCTACTTACTTTAAAAATTCCTACAGTAATTCATCAAATGTTGATGTTGACTTTGAGAGTGATTTATCAAATAATTTACATGTGCATATAGCTGAATTTAAAGAATCTGATGTGTCGAAGGCAGTATTAAAGTTAAAATCTAAATTTACTAAGGGACTAGATAATATACCATCCTTCATGGTTCGCGATTGCTCCCATGCGTTAGCTATTCCTTTAAATAAAATATTTAATTTGTCACTGATGCGTACTGGTACATTTCCTAATGCATGGAAGAGGTCAATAATCTGTCCTGTTTTTAATAAAGGTAAAAAAAATTGTATCGAGAACTATCGACCCATCACTATTATATGTAATTTTGCCAAAGTTTTTGAAATTTTACTATACGATAATATAATACCACACGTCAAACATCAGATAGTGGAAGAACAACATGGTTTTTGTAAGAACAGGTCAACAATAACAAATCTTTTCTCATTTACACAACACAGTTCTACAATAGTTGATGGCGGCGATCAACTAGACGTAATATATACAGATTTTTCTAAGGCTTTCGACAAACTCGATCATAAAATATTACTTCAAAAGCTTAACAAGTTTGGATTGTCTAAGCCTGTCATAATTTTTTTTCAATCTTACTTTACAAACAGAACCCAGTTTGTTGAAGTGCGTGGATTTGAGTCTGTCGATATCTTAGTAACCTCTGGCGTACTTCAAGGCTCGATTCTGAGACCGCTTTTATTTATACTATTCGTAAATGACATCATTAATGACGTTAACGTAAAATATTTAATTTATGCAAACGATGTCAAAATTTTTTATCAGGTAGATATCTTAAATGATTGTCTTAAATTACGAAGTAATATTGATAAAATAAATAATTGGTGTTTAATAAATAATCTTCCATTAAATTCAAAAAAATGTAATATAGTGTCATATACCAAAAAATATTTTCCAATTCTCTATAACTACTGTTTGGATGGTGTTATATTAAATAGGCCTGATTTTATTATAGATCTTGGGGTAAAGTTCGATAGAAAACTTACTTTTAATGAACATCTAAATGACGTGGTAAAAGCATCATTCAGAAATTTGGGATTTATCATTAGGCATGTAGTTGACCTCAATTCTATCGAAACCATGAATATGTTGTATAATGCGTTCATCAAATCAAAATAAGAATTTGATTCAATAATATGGAAACCATTTTATATGATATTCACATAAGCGCTCTTGAAAACGTTCAAAGACGATATCTAAAATTCTTGACATTTAAGATAGACGGAACATATCCACCAATTGGGATAAATCACACGTTACTTTTAAATAGATTTCAAATGCAAAACTTAGAATGTAGACGAAAAAATCAGTCGGTAATATTCCTCTATAAACTTATTAACTACCAAATTGATTGTTCCGAGTTATTAGAACAACTTGTATTTAAAGTGCCAAGAATTGAATCTCGAAACAACTTAATGTTTTATCTGCCGCTATCTCGGACAAATTTATTAAAAAACTCGCCGTTGTATGTGTGAAAACTGCAACAACCTGCAAAGTAGAATTGATTTATTTTCTTGTAAGGTTTCGCAGCTCAAAAAATTGTAAAGCTGTTTCAGTACTACTTGCTTGTGTATAGTCATTAATTTATTTAATTTTTGTCATATTATGTAATTTTTGTTATATTGTGTAATTTATGTCATATTCAAATTATGTCTTATTGTGCAAATGTTATATTTATATTTACTTTCGTAATTACAATTTTTTTTCCTGCTCTATAACTAGGCATTTAGCCTGTAGAGCAGTGTATTTAATAAATAAATAAATTAGCCCGGGGTTTCTTATTTAATAAAACGTGCTTATTTAAAAATAGTAACTTTGGAGCACCATAATTAGAATTTGATGTACTTCGATCAAAATCCTTTGGAACTTTGAGAACATTCGAAAAAGGGTTAAAATGCATGCAAACAAAAAAAAATGCTTAAAAAAATGCATGTGATACTTTCAAATGAAACGGGTTGGACCCAGAGATAACAGTAGGTGAGAAACTACTAACAAATATCGTGCTGTGGTGAATAAGACATATTCTAAGGGACACAGGAGGGTATAAATATCCACCGTTGTCTTATGCCTATTTCATTATTCTCGTTTTGTTTACAAAATTATTTACATATATTAAAAAACTAAAATAATTCAATTTATTTTATTGCAACTGGACCCAAAATTTTTTGAATTATTAGTTATATCACTTTTTATATTGATTTTGGGTATTGTCAGAATTTGCTCAAATTTTAGTATGTTATTTTTTAGGTCTTTAAAGGCAACTTGCGTATGGACCTCAAGTAGGTAGCTCTATTCGCTCCGTGCGAAGTCATGGAAAGGGAAGCAAAAGCGATACTAGCGCTAGCTGCGGATAATTCGTGCATTTTAGGGCGATATTTTGTAATTTTGGCATATCAAATACACGTATACATTTTACTTTTTTTCAAAAAAAGTAGGTAAAAACAATACAATAAGCAACCGGAGTTGCTGTGTTGAAAATTGTACAAATACTAGCAAAAAAACAGTGAAACTTATATAAAAAATTTCAGTAGCAAAGTGGAAATTAAATCAAAGAAATGAATGGATAGATATACAATAAGAAGGAAAATTACCTTTATTTTTGTAATAGTAACCGTAATGCTGCAAATAGTAGACATCAGAAACTTGAAAGGTTTTAAATCAACAATAGATTATCATTTTACCATGTTCTTTAATATCCCTTATTCTTAAATGTTCATTCAGCAAGGACTAGATTTCAAGATTTCTGCCTTTGATTATTATATGTGGTTGGAACGCAATTTTGTAACTTACTGATAGGAAATCAGTTTTAATCATTCATTCTATGTTTTCTTTCGAACAAAAATGAAAATATAAGTAATGATCCTTTTTTTATACATTTTAACTTCACGCTATTATTAAATGGTATTTTTGTATTTTGACAGAATAGACTAATTCTTCAATGAAAACTTATTAGACTTAGGCAACTTCTCATACATTTTCCAGTAAATACTGTTGCCTGCCTATATTTTATTATTGATTTTTATCAATTATACATAATTTTCTTTAATTTAAGCGATAAAAATATATAATAATAATAAATTAATGTTTTACTTGTTTTACAAATCCATATACTTTTATTAAAACTAACATGTATACTTTTTAATTACGAATTCTATTAAAAGTTGCATTTGTCAGTATACGCCGAAATCCTCCATTAGTATCAAAACGAATTGGCGCTGCTGTCGCGCACGGAGCGAATAGAGTGAGTTGTTGGAAGCAGAATAAATATTTTCAAATATATCTCTACCACTCTTAAGTAATTTTAGTTTTTTCATGAAACCTGTCATGTATATATAGTTGTATATAGTTTGTTCATTCTTACTCACTTTTCATAATAAATCATAGTGTGTTCAAAAAAAAATTAGGAATATCACTTACTAAAATATGGTGCATTTTCCATGTATTACCCTAGTTAGAATATGACTTCTGACCATTTATTCTTCATTTCATACTAGATAATTTTTATAAGTAATACAGGGTGTGATAGAGCTACATAAACAACTAAGAATTACAAAAACGCATTTAACGAAAAAATTGGTATACCTAAAATGTTGTAGAAAGTTTTGAAACGAATTCAGTTTTGCTAGTATTTTAATTATAGCTCTTTTTAATTATTTCCGTTCTACACACTTACTTAAATGTAGAAAAAATTCTACTATTTCTGATTTTTATATACAGTACAGATGTCAGCTTATCACTTCTAAATATAATTCTATTTTTGTATATTTGGGAGGTTAATTTTACTTATATTAAAACATCAAAAAAAACTTATACAGTTTTTGCAGAAATTTATTAAAAAACTTCGTGATATGAATACTGATATTTAATTCTGGCCAATTTTTATTGTTTAACTATTCTACACCACTACTCATACTTTTATCTTGCTTTAGATTTAGATTATTATCAATCAGAAAAATTACAAAAGGATTCTATAAGATAAAAGTGTTACACTGGTTTTTGGTAACTCAATATTTTCCCAACGCAACTTTTACAATTCAACTATACAACTAGCAACATTAACGTGCAACGTCTATCATAAAACAACTGTAACATCAGGATCATCGACTTACATAGCTCCTTTAAACCTTCTGTTTTAGATGATGCTGAAAGTTGAATCAGATTTTGAAGGAGTGTAAATAGTTAAATGTATGTAATAAAACAGGTTTTTAAAAATGATTTTTTTATATTGATTTATAATTCTCATAGTCTAATAATTTATGTAAAGAAACTGTTATATTTTTTATTAAATATTTATGACTTTCTGTCACACCCTGTATTATTAATATTATCTAGCTAGTATTTAATGCAACAAATAAAGTGATCAGAAGTCATGTTCTAATTATGGTAATATACATGAAAATGCATCTTATTTCAGTAATAAATATTGCAATTTTTTTGAACACCCTGTATAATTTATTTTGCGATGTGGAAGTAAGCATTAACAAACACATGCCATAAGTTTCATGAAATAAACATAAATTACTTAAGAGTGGTAGAGATAAACATGAAAATATTAATTCTGCACTCATTACTTTTGACTCCTTCTAACAGCCCACTCTATGTGGGGCTACCTACTTGAGGGCCATAAGAAAATTGTCTTTAAAGACCTGAAAAATAACATACTAAAATTTGAACAAATTCTGTCAGTACCCAAAATAAATGTAAAAAGTGTGGGCTCCTTCAACAATTAGATGTAATCATTTTCAATAAATTCTAAAACCTAGTTAATGTTAAGTTGGATGTGGCAACAGGGCTTACACCCACTTGGATTTCTACGTTGTTTACTATAAGCGCACAGGCCCTTAAGTCTTCTAGACTCAATCCAAAACGATATAATAACCGACTAGCGCCGACTTCAAAGGACCGCGCACATGGGCGTACTGTTTTTATTATTAAAATTAAATAAATTATTGATTGGGTATATAGTTCTTCCATTATCAATTGTAGAATATAAAAACTCGTTCCGAACCCTTACCGATAATTTTGTTTGATCTGTCATAGGCGTAGATACCTCATTTTATAAATTTATTATTTTTATAAATACTTTTAAAAATATATCATATGCGACAAAGTATTCGTTAAAAGGCTATCGAATCATAAATTGGACGGCATTATACGCCGTTATTTAGACAGATGCACTTAATTGCGGTCCTACTTAAAACTTAGAAAAAAAAATCATTATAGCTCGTTAACTTTTTAAAAGAAATAAATGAATACGAACTAATAAAATGTTAACAATGTATTAATTTGATGACTCTCGGATTAGGTACCAATAATGAAAAATAAGGTTAATCCGAATCTAAATTTGAACCATCTTTCGAGGGTTGAATATATAACTACTGGAGCTATAGAAGGTAAAACATGATATTCTTTTTCCTTTTTAATGACGCTGTTTTTCCAAACGTCTGTCAAAGACGGATCTTTAAAAACGCCATTAACATTTTCCAAAACCACATTTGTTGGTGCAAAATTATTACGTCTTAGTTTTTGTTCAACTGAATACCAAACTAATTTAATTGGATTAAGTATACAATAATAAGATGGTAACCGAGAATACCGATCAAGGAGAAGCGACAGTAGCTGTCGGTGCCTTTGATATCGGATATACCTTTTTCACAGTATGACTTTGACTGATACACAACTTAGCACGCTGAGAAAACATGCTTATCTTCTATACTGAGCGAAATAGTTTGGCAAATTATCTGAAATTATTGTTATAGTCCATGCGCAAATGTTGCAATGTGATTTAATTACATTGAAGTAGTTAGGGTTAATAGCAATGCTGAAATTTCGGCACCATAAGTATAATTCATTATGTAATAATTATAAAAGTAAAAGACGTTTATTATTTTATAATTTATCTATAACATTTGTTCAATATTTGGTTTATTTATTGTTAAAAATGTAATAAAAGCCCCATATTTAAATTAAATTACCTTCTCCTTAACTAAAAATAAGGTAAATAAAATTAAAGAGTGTCAAAAAAAATTTAGGTAACAATTAAAAAGACATTAAGTTTGAGAGGTTTAACTAAATATTTGCAATGTGCATATATTTTCAAAGCTTTTAGGTTTAAAAAGTACTTACATATTTTTAGAATTTCTAGATTTATATTATATTAAAAGGACTTTCAAGTTTATCACTCATTTCTGTAGAAACAAATGTTTTCTCGCCAAGTTAAACCAGATGTCATTTAAGGTTTATATATTTAGAGTTAAATACCTGGCCTGGCTATTACCCAGACAATACAAATATGTCCATTGGACCTCCATTCGATATACAATTTTGGATGTCTAGACGTCCAAAAATGAGTTTTCTGGACTTCCGACATCTAATGGACGTCCAGTGAAGTATACAAATGGCACACTTTTGACCATTCAGAGGACGTCCAATTCTGGAATATATTTGGACGTCGAATACTGGATATTCAAAAAACGTCCAGGATTATATTTCCATTGAGACCACATCCCCACTTTTTTACAGAACCGCAACTCACGACACACTATTTTATATTATTAATAAATTGTTTATTATTTTCGCAAATCGCTATACACCATTTATTTATTTTTTATTAAAAATCGCTTGACCGTTTAGATGTTTTAGATATTTTTTCTAGCTTTCTCGAATAATAATGCAGTTATCTTCTAATTTTGGTACGGTGTTTGAAAACCACTCTGAACGATTCTCCACACATTTCTTCATGGTAGTCACCGGATTTTTCAACTCAAATACATAAAGTGCATTATAGACAAAGCCTTCTTCACTTCCAATATGGCATATAATGAGTTGTTTTTACGCACATACCTGATGGGTTTTTAAAACCAGTTAAAAGTTCATCCAAAAAGGCTTGTCTGGATGAAAAAACCGACATATCGAAACATACTTTTGATTTGGTGTGGCCTGCGTTAATCCAAGTCTCATCAAGATAATCTATTTTTTGCTTTTCTTCTCTGTACCGTTTTATTTTTTGTGGCGTAGGACGAAACAATTTCATTTTTGTCTAAAAGCAAACTATTTTTTCCTCGAGTTTTAAATTTAAAATTAAGGGTTTTGAAAAGCTTGTAAAATGTAGCTCGCTTAAAGTAGACAAATATGGATCATCGTTGACTTCTTGTAAAAACTTATCAATTGTTGGAAGTTAATTTCTAAACAAGAATTGATGTACTTTGCGCCTTATTGCATTTTTATCAAAATCATCCACAGAGCCACTAATTTGTTTATAACGTAGCTTTATTTTTGGTTCAGAAAATTTATGAATCTGCCTATACTCCTTCATAACATTAAAAACGGTTTTAGCGCACATCCCTGTTTTATCAGCAACTCTCCTTTCAACATCATGTACCAACATATCAGGGTTCTATAAAATTTAATGCTTATAAATATTAAGAACCATTTCTTTAGTACGGATGACCAAATGTCCCTTTTTCAGTCGCTTTTTAGAAGGAGTAAAAACATTTTTCTGGACTTCATCTGCTGTATCTGTGGAGGACATAGTTTCACGCAGCAATTACAAAATATAGTCAATTAAATGTCCATAAAATAGAGTAAAACATGTTCAAACTAACAACCACAGAAACAAAAAAAATAAATAACACAATATATGTATATCTAAACTATAATATAATGAATTATAATCAAACATACAAAATGTCCAAATTAACCAACACGGTGAATGCTACCAAAACGCCGTTTATAATTATCCAAATTGAACTGAATTCGACCGATTAACCAATAGAAGCGCAAAAAAATGTCACGTGAGCTGTTACTGGATGGGAGAAATTGTTTTGACGCGGCGTAAATATGAAATCTGAATAGACTTTAGTAACAATATAATGAGAAAAAGAGTTCTAGATCTTATTACGATGGAGCTACGAGAGGATGAAGAAGACGAAAAAGTATTGAAAAAAAGAACTCTGTTGGAAAAAAAACCGTAGCCAAAATGAGCTTTTTAAAACAAGAGAAATTGAAGGCTGCTTTAAGTTACTTATTACTAACCATTTGAACGACAATGAATTGAAATTCACCATATGGGTAGACCAGCCACCAGTTTTTCAGCTGTAGAAAATGTTGGTTGAGGTTCTCTGCCAGATATATTCAACTTAAGAGCAGTGCTTCGGTGAAAGTTCCTTGGAGCTATGATAACTCGCTAAAGTTTAAAATGCCTTCAAACCAAAAAATAATTCTTAATTCGGAATCATAGAAGTGCCTAGTATCCGAACATCAAAAATTTTAAATATCATATTTTATTCTAAGACCTAGGTTTTTAATCAGAAACGTAACGGGGATAGTCATGTGATAACTCAAATTTAACGGTTGCACCTGAGGATTTCGTATTTGATATTAGCGTAGACAAAAATCCTTTAGAAATACGAAAAAGGTTTAAAATGCATGCAAACCAAAAAATACTTAGTTCGGAATGATGAAGCCGTCTAGTATTCGAACATAAAAATTTTGCATATCAATTTTAATGAGGAACATAATGGGAATACAGACGCGCGATATGTCAAATGAAACGGTAGAACGTGAGGACTACATATTTAATGCCTGCTTCGATGAGTACTTTAAAACAGCGAGAAATCGCTAAAAATTGGAAATGACACTTGTTGTCCATAATCTGGATTTTAAACCAGTGATAAATGTTTCATAAATCCAAGAATTTTCTTTTTTACTTTTTTTTTTGTTAAATCAGAAGACAAAATTTAAATATCCTAATTTTGGATATTTATAGCCATTAGTATTTTTTATTAAATAAAACAAATGATTGCTCAAAATTCTAAGTTGAATATATAATTACGGGTACTTAACTGGGAATAAAAAAAACTAATTTCAAATGAAATAATGTAATAAAGTTTAATATGACAATTTGCAAATAACTGTTTACTACATGCAAAATTACAAAAATAGAATTATGTATATTCTTTTTGGGAATGCTTACCAAGAAATGCATCTAACATTCGAAAAAACATTCACCTTCCAAGCTTCGATATCAATAACCTTGCTCACTAACTATTATAATAAAAAAAGTGAAATTCAGAGTTCATAAAACCATATTCATAACATACAATAAAATACAACACACACTCAGTCCCAGTCTGTGGGCAAATTTTACCTGGCAAAATATTATTTTAGTCATTAAAATCGTGCTCTAAAATGTAAAGTTATTTTAAGGATTATTGTTCCACTAGTTTGAAACGTTTTCACTCTTTAAGTAACAACTGCATCTCCGCAACCAATATGTTATCAAAAGTAAAAGTGTTATGAATGTATGATAAGTTTGTTAAAATACGTTTTTCATTTTTTTATTAAATGTTTAAAACTAATAAATCTATTAGTCATTCATTTTATTTAATTTGTATATGAATTATATGATTTTATTTATCAATGTGTCAGTGATACCTTATCATGGTCGAAAGTATAATAACTAAAATAAATCCAATAAAGAACTTCACGGAAGTTACATTTCACAGTTGGAACAATAACTCTTAAAGTTGTGAAAAGAGTATGAATAAATTTGGATTATCTCTAATGTACACAATTTATTTATTTATTATTGAAAATTTAAAACAAAGCAAAAAATAGAAATACATTATTATAAGCGAAATATGTCAGCCCTAAATATTACTTTATTAACTTATGATCTAAAAATATTATTTGTTTCATTTCGATATTATTTTTTGTAAGGCAAACTTTACCTCTAGTATATCAGTCCAGACTGGGGTACAAATATATATCTATGTTTATTATTTATCTAAAAAGTTAATTTTCTCCTTTGTTGGTCATATCCAATTCACAAATCTTTTTAGTCAGTTCTGCACACTCTTTTTCGTCAGATTCAGCTTTTTTGCTTTCATCAACAATATTTTCTAAAGAAGAAAATTTTTCATCTGATATTTTTTCATTTTCTTTATCATTTGTATCATTGTAGAGCTCACATTCTGTCAGGACTATGTGCCTGGCCTCTTCAAATTTTGCTTTAAACAGGTTAGCATCTAGTAAAAAGAAAACATTATATATACGTCTGTGTATTTAAGAATATTAAAATGGAATATATTTCTATTCAAACAATAACTATTCATGAAAAGATTAACCCACGGATTAACACAAACACAAAAAAGATTTTTTTAGTTGGAATAAATGTTATCTTAGTAATGGACAAAAGATAGTTTTTATCTAGGAAAGAGTAGAATTTAATTAATTTGTAGCGAGGATGTAGGTGTACAAAAAGGATTACAAAAATATATGAGAATTTCTCATGAATTTATATGTCATAAAATTAGCAAAATTTTTAAATTGCACTAAAATAAAATAGTTTTCAGTTTATTACTAAATATAACAAATTAAGATATATTCTGCCAATTCATGGGCACAAAGCTTCCACATCATATTTAATTCCACAAAATAACTGAGGAAGGTTCAAAAAGGAACCAAAAATGTTCAAATAAAATTTCAGCCCTAATATACATGTTATCCTGTTAATAAAACTTGAATAAAATAATAATTCCATACTTTTCTGAGAATTTTCGTCACAATTTTACATAATATACGGGGGTCCTTACTATTTCATAGAGACAGAATTGCTATTTTTTAAACTGTAACAGATAGAAAATTGGTTAAATTAGACAAAAGTTGTGCAGTTTTGTGCTCATTAAAATGGTACCAAAAAACCCTTGATATCTACAAGGAGATTCAAAATACCGGACAAAAAATGAATGAATTTAAAGAAATGATAATTTCCATTTTTTGTCCGATATATCAAAGGTTTCTTGTCTAATTTAACTAACTCTGTTCCTATGAAACAGTAGGTACCTTGCATGGTGCCCGTCTTAAAATTGGGAACATACATTATAAAAAACAATTTTTATTTGTCATTTGTCAGGAAATGCTTAAATAAATAAAAGTTTCAGCATAAAAAAATATACGCTTATGACCTATTTTAAAAGTGTCCTCAATATACAGCTAGATTCATATACCCTGAAAATAGAGAAATATGAAACCAGAATAACAAAAATTTGCTGGGATCGAAATGTCATCTACAGCAAAATTTTAGATTGTTAAAAAAGAAACAACTTTCTTTAATAACTTTTCTTCATGTGGGCTTTAGTTTATTTGAAAATTATGCCTAAACATTATCAATATTTAATTTTTTTGAATAGTAGAAATCTCTAAGAAATGAATGGACCTAGAAAAACCGGTATGAGAAAAAGTTGTTTATTTTTTAGAAGATCCACAATTTAGTTCAAGATATCATTTCAATTCGAGCAACTTTTTGGTTTCAAACTTTTATATTTTAAAACATCCTGTATATTGAGCACATATTATTTCGATTAAGTCAAAGATATTTACTTTTCATGCAAACTTTTATTTATTTAAACATTTCCTGCAAAAAAGACAAATAAAAAAGTTTTCCATATGTATCCAACTGTATGACGACATTGTATATCATAAAGTTGATAGGTACATATAAAAATAGACACAAACTAAACTTATTTAGAAAGGTGAATAAAAATAAAATTTATATCATTGTATCCTCGTTTTTTTAACCCCATTACTGCGTCCATGAGAAATATATCTGTAACTTTTAGTGGTAGAAAATAGTTTCTCTATGAGTACTAGTTTTTAATCAAAATTAGTAAGTTTTTAAAAAATAGTTTTTATATGGTTACTATTCAAAGTAGGCTTTTGCGCTTCGAAATACAACCTCAAAGTTGACGATTTCCACGAACTTACATTAACTGACAGCTTTGTCGCTCGCCGAGCGGAAAACTTGACAGTTTTGTTGCTCGCCAAATTTAAATTAGATACAATATATTTCTTTGTAATAAATGATTTTCAAGTTATTTGTATGTAGTTTGATGTTTTTTGTTTTATTATCCAAGTTAACAATGACTTTGAATATCAACAACTCCATTTTCATGATTTACTTAGATATAGGCAACACATTATACACTACATACAACAAATTTTCGATTTTAATATCTATTTCTCAAAATAATGTGAACGTAGAACAAATGTTGTGTGCATTTTGAGCGAAAAGTTCATTGCCGCTTTCGAGAGATTGCTCCGCTAAGCGTCGCGCGGCCACTTCCTGTCTCAAGCGGCAAAGTATAACTTTTCGCTCTTAATACACAAATAGCTATTTTTTTATTTTTGAAAGAGGAAAAAACTCTATTTCCAACTTTGGGCCTCATTTTCTCAGTCTATAAGATTATATACCTCTAAGGTACATACTTCTTTTAAAGATTACTTTAATTTAATACCCCCCCCCCCCCCAAGCCATATTTTGTAACAAAATGTGTAATTTTATAAAAGTTACCCCCATTTTCTCTGACCCTAAGGGGTTGTTTTCCACCCCAATGAAAGAAAAAATAATTGATTAGGCATTATAAACTCCACTTTACTCACTCCACACAACACTCGTTCCGCCTTGTATCTTTCAAACAGAAAAATCGTATGAGTCATCTACTTGCAAAACCAGCCCCATCCATTTTAGAAGATATTGAGATATTAGCAAAAATATCATATTTCTAATTTTGAAGGAAATATTCGTTTCTGAATATGTAGATATGTTGTTACATTGTATTAAACATAATTATAGGGACAATTTAAAAAATCTTGTTCCAATAATCAAGATGGTATAGATATTTGAAGTTTGGATAAAGACACATTACAAATATAAAAATGTGTTTTTTTCAAGTTTTATAAATAAAATACAGAAAATGTTGTTCTATTACCTACATATATTTTTAATTATAAAGTCAAGTTACAAAAACTTGATTTGATAAAATTGAGAACATTTCAGAAGAAAAAAAAAAAGATTAAAAATTTTAAACAAATTTTAAGAAAGTTAAACGGTATTTAAATATTGGGTTTCTTTGAGAACATCACAAATATCTTCTTCAGACAAATTCTGAGAACATTTCATTGTTGGTTAATTCAATAATTTTGATGGGGACGCTTTTGAAACAAACTTTATGTTGGATGTAGCCAGTTTTGCAATGCATTGCAATATTTGGTTGCAGATTTCAGTCAGATGGAGTCGCTGATATAATCGGAATATACCATTTAATAAAGCATATTTCATAGTATACTATTGCACTTTTAATTTTTTTTTGATATAGCCAGTTTTGAAAGAGGGTGACTCCTATATAAACTAAAGTCCTTGAAATTTCACTTCCCCATTCTCGCCAAATATCGGACCGTTGCCTACTTATCAAATATCGAACCGTGGCCTAAGAAGTTTTACGTATATATAAAAAAACTTATCAGAGAAACTTTTTTCTCGATTTTAAAACAGAAGAGCTCACATAAATTACATATGCTGAAACAGTTTTGTTTTAACAAGGTGTATCTATTTAAATTTTTAGTTACACAAAGGTGGCAAGTTAATTACTTTATGATACACCGAGGGAAATATATACAGGATGTTTCATACGAAATGGTAAAATATATTTTGCTAAATATCACTGTTAAATCGATACCTTTTTGCCAGACTATCATAAGTGCCATTTGAACAAATGGCGCTTACGTTAGACTGGCAAGAAGGTATCGAAATGTTATCTGCTTCTGAAATACAGTGTGATGTTTCATTTTTTGCAATATTTTCGTTATTATTTAACATATTGACTTGAAATTTGGTATGGTTATATTTTTGGGATAGTAAATCATAAGCATGTTATCAATTTTGAGATTAGACAAAGAGAGCGCCACCTACACTCTACTCAATGAAGAAAACTACTTATTTTTTATTCTTGGCATTTCTAAAAAAATAAAGTTTTTATGGTATATTTGAACAAAAAACGAATACTTATTTTAATAGCATAAATTTAAAAAAATTGTCACAAGATTTTCTAGCCATAGTATCTATTTAATTTACTTAACAATTTTTGAACAAAGTAAGCTTGAAAACAAAAATAAGTTGAATTTATGCTACTGAAGAAAGTTCATGTTTTTTGTTCAAATTTACCACAAAGACTTGCCCTGGGGCTCCGCAAAGCCTTTGTGGGGGCTCCGCGAAAAAAATAATAGTAATAAAAAAAGTACTATCGCTACAAAAGGGAGGGACTTGGCTTGAGGACATTTTTTTAAATTAGAAGTTACTAAGAGGAAGGATTTTGCTTGGAGGACCTTTTTGTGGGGGCTCCGCGAAGAAACTAATAGTCATAATAAAAAAAAGCAGTACTATGTCCACAAAAAGAAGGGACCTGGCTCAGAAGGACCTTTTTTTAGGGTTTCGTCACCAAAAAAGTTTGAGAACCACTGGTTTAGACGATATGATTGTGAATTTTTTTTCCAAAATTTTCTTTTTTCTAAAGCAATGAAAATCTACTTACTGTCAACAGTACCGAATTTGATAGCCAATGTTTCAGACTTGGGTTTCTCATCAGCAAAATCGACCAATACATTGTAGACAAATGCTTTGTCACTACCTATGCTAGGCTTCAATTCCATCCATGGGGTGATGAAATGATTTGCACATACTTTTAAGGTTTTGTCTCGTCTCATAACAACCCTTACTGAATTGGTTTCATTGTGCCTTAACAGTTTTAGTTCACCTGTGCCTCTTTCCTATATAAGAAATGTCTTTTAGAAATATCTATTTTATGGAAACAATTACAAGTTATACATAGCAAGGCAATTGAAATAATTGATAAAAGCTTACTAAATTGTTTTAATTACATAGTGTCTGGAAGATCATAAATCATGACCTACAATTAAGTAGACTGATCAATAGGGAAAAGCTAAAACTTGGTTAAGGGCCTATGAGAAGATAAAAAAATATTAATTGGATCCTATACAAAGATTCATTGTAATCCGTTTCCATTTAATGTACTTCTAAGCAATAATAATACTTGTAACTGTATACCTTCCATTCAGAAGTTTCTCCTGATGTATCATATCTGTAGAGCTTGGCCCTAATTTTCAGCAGATCAGTTTCATTCTCTTCATTTGTGGAAACTTCAACTTCTGGCAAAGTAATGATGGGTTTGAATTGAGGATCAAATTCGGTATCACTACTCTCGCTTTGTTGTCGTTCTCTTTCCGTGTTGTTGGTGTCCTTAAAAAAAATAGCAACAAAAAAATTTTAGGTTAGAAACATGCCGCTGTGGCTGGAAAATATTAGAAAAATAATTACCAAGATTTTGCTGTCACCCATTCTGAAGAATTTGTCAAATTTATTGACAAAATGTATTAAATTGTATTTTTCACAATGGACATAAAATTAACCAATTTTCAGTTTGTTTCATTTAAAGAACTTTAATACAAATGTCAATATTTGACAGATGACATCGATGTCTCTGATCTCCATCCACAGTTCTATAGTCGAGTTCGACAATTCTAGGCCTTTTTAACCGTTATTAAAACCAATCATATCCTTTTGTCTTACTCGTGCATGCAAAATTGCCTTTATATAAATATAAGTGGACATTTTTATTTTTAGAATAATTTATTTTTTCTTTAATTTTAAGGTCATGAATATTTCTTGTTTTTGAGTGTCAATAATGTATTTATGCCACATACTTTGATTTTCTTTTACTATACGGAGAATGGTCGCAGTGCGCAGCTTTCTGGATACCTATTCTCTAACTCATGGGAGCACTCCCATGCTCCCCACAAAGCACATAGAGGTTCCACGTGAATGACCAAGGTCAAAACCGACAACTGACATTTTTTATGCTATTTGCTCCAAACTCTAGATGGGGCTACTGGTAAAATTCTGATTTCTTACTCCATTTTTAAGCTTTATGGGAGAAAAACTTTACCAAAGACTCCAAAGATGTGACGTGTATTTATTTATGTTTTTGGTTAATCTCATTTTTCCGTCTGATTTTAGTGATTTTTTGTTGGCTTTGGCTTTTGGTTTCTGTTTATAGTTTCGTCTTAGTTATTTGCAAAATTGTGATGTTTTGCTTTTCTATTTTCTACTGTGTTTTGCAATAATTTTGGTGCTACCGGTGCTACCTGTGGGTGCTACGTTGAAAACTTCGAGAAAAACTTCATTGATTCACCATGCATCTGCATCATAAAAAGACAAACGGGTATAACAACTAATTGATAATCAATTTATCACTGGACTAGATTCCGAAATCATTTTTCACATTAGTAATACACAAAGCAGTGGAGTAATACCACCATCTGTATTTGGAAGGAAAATACCTATTTATCATTGTTATCAATAGTTAAAAGGATTCACCTTTTAATACAATACCTATATTACATTTGTCCTCAGTTAAAAAGACATTTATAAAATATATAACTTTTAGTGTTAATAAAATGTAATATCCTAGTCTCTACTTCACATTTAAATTATTGATAGGTATTTTAAAGATTTGAGATTATATATCTATTTGCTCCAAGTAAGTATTCCTTAAATATGTATTATTATTTGTATTTATTTTTATCTAATAATATTTATTTAAGTTATTAATAAACATATTTTAAGAATGTTCTATTTTATTATTTATTGATATATCTTATATTTATTTAATAAAAATATGCAGAACCAACTCTCCACATTAGACCCCTTATAACAAATTAATTCTTCAAATTTGGTATAATCGACCTAAATTATTTTGTAAAATAAAAGTTTCGAACTTACTAGTTCCATACTTTATTTTATAAAATAATTTATGTGGAAATCATTTAAAATTTAATTTGAAACTACTACCGTTGTATGAAGATAATATAGTAGGATAATGCAACAGTAAAAAGTGTTGGATGCAATCTCGAGCGGCATCTAGTGACGATTTAATGAAGTAGTCAATTTTTAATGCTATGCAGATACGCCATCTACGTCTTCTTTTCGTTCAGGCACATGGCCTCTATCACCTACCTATTATAGTTAAAAACATCTTTATTTATTTAAAAATAACAATTTATGATAAAAGACATGAAAAATTAAACATAATAATGAAAATTTATTCCAGTTGACAAAACCGTACGAATAAAATTTTTGGATTAAGGTGATAAAAAGTGGTTAAGGACTTTGGTCAATATTTTGGTTATGTGCGGTTATGTCAAAATATATAAACAATAACAAAGAATACCTAATAACAACTTATAACAATGTCCAATGTTTTAAATAAATTGAAAAGTTCCAAGCAGAAAACAAAAAAGGAATAAGCTTCTGAAAATGTTGCATGTAATCTAAGTACCTCTAATTGGACTAAGTGTTGGAGAAGTTTATAACCATAAAAATAGCTGAATATTTTTATAGTTTTCAAAATTTGAACAAGCTTTGCTACAAAATTTCATCAAAGCTATCAACAGTTTGCAAGATATTGAGTTAAGGAACAAGATAATCATACTAATCAGGGAAAAATCAATCAACACTGGAAAACAAATTAAAAAAAATAGTCACAGGGATATATTAGCGACTTTCAAATGTATCTTGGCTGTTGATCATGAATATAAGAAAAAAATGTTCTCTCGGCTGGCTCTGAGTGTTGAAATAAATCACCTTGAAAGGAAGTTTTCAATAGCTCCACTCTTTAGGAATAGCTCAAGACGAAATCAATAGACCTACAAGTGGTCTATCTGTGGCAGACATATTCAGTTAGTCTTTATATTTCATTATGCAATGTTACAAGGTTCAGCAACTTGCCAAAATGGTTAAAATTTATTTCCAAAATCAGTGCTCTTATTTAGTACAGAATTCTATGAACGACACAATAATTATAAAGTCCTAACTTTGAACATAAAAGAAAATCTTATAAAAAACTTTTTTATATAATTTATCACTGTTTGGAAAAGTATATTTGTTTGTAAAATATTTGTATTTACAGTTATATTTAATCCAGGTTAAGTGTCAGTGCGCGAGTATAATGTTAAGTATGAACAAAATCCGCCCATTCTGTTTATATGTTTGGTTACCGACCCTAGTAGATAGGCTATTTGTTATTACTTTTAATTTAGATTTTGGATTAACGTTTTTGTATATGACTTGGCTGTTTAGTAATAAATGAAGTCAAAACTGTAACACGTGGTTTTATTCTGGAAAGTATTTTTAAATTGAATCACACGCACGCCGTTCGAGTGAAAATGTTTTAAGTAGTTCAAAACAACAATCATTCTTTTTCATTGTTTATAGAATACAGCCTTTCAGTTAGCTCAGACAAAACTGATTAAATAAATAAATTAATGTCTTATTATTTTTTGAATTTTTTTTATTTTGACTGGTTGACTATCTCAAAAATTAAAGCCAATCAAGCAAAACGTGAGTCACATTTCGCTTTTTTAGAAATCAATAATGCAAGTGAAAATTAATGATTCCACAGAAATAGCAAATTAAAGAAAATGTAATATAAAACTTACAACTAAGACGTTAAAGAAAAGTTTGGAAATAATCGATGGGGACTGCGAGATAGCAAATTTATTTTAGTTTTAGACAGAACTACTTTATTTTATTCGTTTTGAAACAATTGAAGATTTATAGGCCAGAAAAGCGATTTTAAACTGAATATTCAGTCCAATAGGCTGTCGACTGAAATCCTTTCCATTTTTAGAATATTATCTTTCAAATTCAACAATTTTATGTTTTGTTCCAACACGGATTTTAATAATAGATTTATAAATTGTTTTTGTTTATTTGAATGTTAAAAGTTCTTAAAACTAACTTTAACATATATTTCCCATGCTGGCGCTTAGTGTTAAAATAATGAGACGATTAAACGAAAAAGGCTTACAAGAGCCAGTTGCCCTCTTTTGGTACACATTTGTACAAGGCAACTTTACAAATGTTTCCTCCTTTTTTCTCTTGTAGAAGATGGACACGCAGTGGAGCGCACAATGATGGTATTTTAAAAAGCCACGTCACATATTTGATTAGATAATTAACTTGATGTAAGTGCCTTCAAGACTTAAGTCGTTAAGCATTCAAGTTTGGATTTCCCAACCCAGATTCATTTACATATAAAAACATTCTTTCTTATTTTGGAAAAAATATGAAAAATATAATTAATGCAATCTTTCTGCTAAATTTTGTAGTATTTTGATAACAGTTCAGAAAAAAATAGTAGTAGTCAGTAACTGATCTTTACGAAACTCCAAAGTTGAGCACTTAACGTCCTGAGCAATGAAAGTTTATGTCAATGTTAATTATCTAATCAAATATGTAACATTCGCATTTTCTACAATTTATTTTTTAAGACGCCTTCGTTGAGAGCTTCATCATTGTAGGACATGCAGCAAAGTATTTCCATGTACAAAAAAAAACAATGAAAAATTTTTAATTTTGCTTTTCGAAAATAATACTCCTAAATGTGCCTACCATAAATTGGTACTCGATTCGTTTTCAAATGGTGTCAAAAATTGAAAACTGAAAATTAGTGGCTCACATGTGCATGTTTTTATTACTTAGTATAATTTCACTAAACGTGTTTGGTATTATGTTATAAGTTTACCTAACAGCAAAAAAATCTGTTAGTTAAATTTTGTCAGTGCCGATTTTAGTAAAATTATATTGAATAATAAAATTATAACTACCTATATATTTAGCCATTATTACTTTTTTAATTTTCAACTTAACATCCTGTATTTCAGAACATTTTATCCAAACATTTTTTATTTTCGTCTATTCGTCTCATTTTGAACAATAATATTCAGTTGTTCATGTCCTATTCTTAATTTGATGATACCATTAAATAAAAGTGAATATAAATTAACAGCGTACAACTCAAGTTTAATTAACCATCAGCGATATATCCAAAATCCAACCACAATATAGAAAAAAATGTTCCCTATTATAGTAAAATTCCACCCAATCTCAACTAATTCAATCTTTTTCAACCAAAAACTGGTTTATTTTATTATATCGATTATTTTCGCATTTTATGTGACCTTCAAATACCCTGTATTCTGTGCTTTTGTAATAATTTGAAATAGTAAATTGTAACTATAAAAATACATTACCGAAGACAAGTAGAAATGAAAAAGAAGATTTTAAATTATAATCCATACTCAAGCACAGACATGACCTAAAGACCTGACTTGGACATAAGTACAGTATCGCCATCTACATTCTATGTCCATCGTCCTCCAATGATAAGTCCATAAGGTTACCCTACTATATTTCTTCATACAACGCTACTACCTACTCCTAAAAATTACAATTTGAATTTACCGCCATCTGTCAATTGTCATTTTAGTTCCAGCTCCAAACACAAGGTGGCGCTAATTTGGTTTAAAAGTTTAACATTGGCGTGTAGCGATGTGTCGTTCATGAACGACCCGTTCAAAAAGAACGAATCATCCCGAAGATCCGTGATTGATTCAATCACTCTTCGTGACCCTATCGTTCATATGACCCTGTTTATTTATGAGATTTTTAATGTGCTTATGAATTAAAGAGCTGTTTTTTCGCCGAGTGTTTTTTCACGATGATCGTGATGACGTGGTAGTGATTCATGATCGCGATCGATTAAACACTG